GGCGGCGCGGGCCGGGCGGGTGCGCGGGCTCCGAGCGCCCCGTGCAGCCTCCGCCAGCAACCTCTTTGTCCCCCAGGTGCACGTGCAGCCCGGGGACGCTGCCCGGGCACCTTCGGGGGCCGGCCGCCCGCGGAGTGCCCGGAAGCGTCGCGGATTCGTGGGGGGCCGGCGGGCGAGGGGGCAGCAGTGTCTCCCGCTGCACCCGGCGAAACTCCCCCGTTTCCGCTGGCTGATGGTCCGGTGGCCGGAGAAAGGGGCCTTTCAGCTTCAAAGGCGTTAGCTTCTGCCCACATGGAAATAGAGGAGGCGCCCCCATACCTCCTGAGCCTGCATAGGCTGCAAGGAACCAGGCATTTCTCTGAATACCCGTGGCATCCTCAAAAGAACTTTGTTGCCGTTTGTGCTGGAATACCTCGGGAAAGCAGCCTCTCAAGGCCACCCTTAGCCTTACTTAAAGATCTGTGTGCCCCTGAGGAAGTGTAAAGTCAGGAGAAGGGTTACGTTTACTAGGACCCTTCCTGTCTCAGAAGACCCTTAATGATCACCCTTTCTCTTTCATTTTTTACAAGCTGACATTGTATTTGGTAAGCAAGGCCAACTTGTCTTTCCAGTAAAGTAAGCAAAAAGTTAATACACAGGTACAAATCTGCACCGTGCCCTTGATAATCTTCCCAAAAAGTACCCCCCCGCAAAATGTTGACATCTGGTTGCCCAGTTGGGGGGTATTTGCTGAGAGGGATAAGGTTACTTTTTTCCCTAATTGCTTTACTTCTTTTCTGATGTGGTTGCCTCAGTTCTCCTGCCGGTATTAATACAATGGAAAGGAGACTATCAAATGTTCCATGAAGTAAAGGTTTCAGTCTTCTTAAGAGGATGAAGGGGCAAGTAGTTGTTTCCCCCTAACTAAAGACAAAAGACGGCGAGATCTGTTAAAATTTAGAGAAACTCAGATATGCCCTGTTTGTGAAGATGGGACAGGAAGCACGCAGATTAAATATTGGATATTCTCAAAGCTCCTTTTAGCGAGTGGGCGACAGTTTTTTCATCCACCACCTTTTCCTCGACCTTTAAGAAAAAAAAAAAAGGAAAGTTATCAGTTGACATTTGTCTTCTCTGAGCTGTGCTTTGTTTCAAAGCTGAGTGCCAAAAAGAAGTATAGGTCCTGAAGTAATCTGTCATCGTGAGTGTCCTAATACTTGGCAGTTGATTTTAAAGGGTAGACTGGACAGGTTTTTTTCTGTTCATTCTTCTCTGATAACTATAAATAGCAAGTAAATATGTGTCATGTGGCTTTCTTCTTGACATGTACTTTTTTTCTCCCCTCCCTCAGTGCCCTTGGGGAGAAGATCCACTCATTGGTTTTATACCAAACCTGACAAGGCCTCAGTTGTCAAAGGTGGCACCAGGAGGATGTCACACATAGGAGTAAAACTGTTCCTAGAGCAAATGATGATGAGACATCTGGAGGTGAATGCATGCTTGTACCCACACATGGAGGCTTTGTGGGGGACTGAGGGGTCTCTGAAAGAGAGCTCCAGTGAGAGTAAGAAATCCAGCCCACAAACGGACAGTCTTGGTCCTGAGAGCGCTCGCCAGCACTTTCGGAGCTTCTATTATCATGAAGCGCCTGGACCACTTGAGGCTGTCAGCCAACTTCAGGAATTATGCCACCAGTGGCTGAGGCCAGAAATCCACTCGAAAGAGCAGATCTTGGAACTGCTGGTGCTAGAGCAGTTCCTGACTATTCTACCCAGGGAGACCCAGAACTGGGTGCAGAAGTACCGTCCACAGAGCATCAGAGAGGCTGTGGCCCTGGTAGAGCGCTTTCAGAGAGAACCTGATGGAATAAGTGATGAGGTGAGGAGATCCTTTCTGTGGACAATGAAATAGGGTAAAGGTAGAATTATCCAGGTTGGGTGGGGAGGGGCAGTGGAGGAACAAGGTGGAGTAGGTCACTCTTCTGTCATTCCTTGGGGACAGCCAGGCAGGATCTGAAGCCACAGATGTGCAGCCGTACTGGATGACAGGTTTCAGAGTCCCTGGCCATCTTTCTTGGCCCTTGGAAAAGAGAAATGCATTTTGCCCTCTTTCGGGCCAGGGCAAACTGGGGGTGGTGGGCCTCAGCTGGCGTGGCCAAGGAAGAGAGGACTTGAGTTCTCAGAAACAGAGAAATAAAAGGCAAGGCAGAGTTGGGGAAGTGGGGGGGGCGCAATCTGAAAAGAAAAATGCACAGCACTTAGAGATCAAAAGAGAGAGAGGGCAGCAAACAGAAGTATTAATCAGACAACTTTGGGTAGACTACAAGGAGAAGAAGTGGAAAGAAAAAAGGAAGCAAGGATACGGAAAGAAGAAAACTGCCAAGAGGGGAGTGGACGGAATCAGGGAGCCAAGAGGGGTAGGGCCCTCTCTAGTGGGAGCGCCTATCTCTGGGCCAGAAGAAAAGAGCCTCCATTGCCCTCCCTTAGTGGTCTGCCCTTGGCCTTGCTGGGAAGTGGGGAACCAGGGTATGCCCTTGGGAGATGGCAGCACCCTTCCTTTCCTCGGGAGCCCACTTTGAGGAGGACAGGACAGGGTATGGTTTTGGCGTTTTACTACAATGGAATCACACAGAAGGAAGTGAGAGTCCAAACTTTCCTCCAGTTTTTCCTCTGCTGCGTCCCCTTTCTCCATGAAATCCTTCCCTGGCTGTGGAAGGATTGGAAAATCTGACTGGCTGGGGATCTTTTTTTATTTTTATGTTTTTTAAAGATTTTATTTATTTGTCAGAGAGAGCTCAAGCAGGGGGAGCGGCAGAGGGAGAGGCAGACTCCCCTGCTGAGCAGGGAGCCCGAAGCAGGGCTCGATCCCAGGACCCTGGGATCATGACCTAAGCGGAAGGCAGGTGCTTAACCGACTGAGCCACCCAGGCGTCCCTGGGAATCTTTTTTTTTTATTCAACTCCTTCTGTTTTAGAGAAAACTGAGAAGTTAAAAATGCCCTTAGGCAAGGGTCCAAGGCAAGAGCGCAAGCCAGTGAGGGCACCATGACAGGACGCAGTGTGCCCCCACCCTGCCAGTGGCCTGAGCTGTGGCTGTCTGATTGCCCCAGATGATGTGTATGGTTCTTTGTGGGGGAAATGGTGGCACAATATCTCTTTAGTTTTTTTTATTACTTCCTTGAATGTCACAACTTCCCAAATCCGGGCTCTACTCTTGTTCATCCCTCCACCACCACCCCCAAACGAAAAGTTCTGTGCTAATGAGGATGGGGATTATTTCTAGGTCACAATCCATGAGCTGGGAAAGGAGGCAGTGCCCTTGGGAGGAACAGCAGTGGCCCCAGGCTTTAAGTGGAAGCCAGCAGAGCCCCAACCAATGGGTATGTTCCAGAAAGAATGTTGGAATACATACCGGGTACTACAGGAACAGCTGGGCTGGAATACTCACAAAGAAACCCAGCCTGTATATGAAAGAGGTGAGGAGCTTCATAATAATTCTCTTCTCCTGGGCGCCGTGATAGGAATCGGTTCAGCTGGAATGTCATGGGAATGTTCCAGGTGCCCAGCCTTGCCAGTTGTTAAGATGTCTCTCACGTGCGAGGACAATAGGCCAATGGTGGGTGAAGGTGAGGGTCAGCCTGGGGTGCACACATGTCCAAACCAGAGAACCCTGGTATTCACACCATGGACCTTGCTCCTTAGAAACTGGAGCGAAGATGGACTAGGGACAGGTGGGGTCATCACCCTTCTGTGTTAGAGAAGAAACTGGGATCAGACATGGGTCATCATGGCAGAAGGGGGAGAGAATTGTGCCCCAGGGGGGAAAAAAAAAAAAGACAGAAACAGCTACACTGGAGGACCTGAGTCTTTCATTTTCAGTCACCTCTAGTTCTTGCCTAGCCCGGTAAACTGTTTTATGAGAGGAAAAAAAAAATAATGGATTTCCTTTCATTAATTTCTCTCACGAAATCTGGGGGGAAACAGCCAGCTGGGGAACCAGTTCTTTGGAGTGGTAGATACTTGGTTCTCATTTCCAATGAGAAGACCACCTCTGGCACCACACATACACTTGTGAAGGTGAGCTATCCTTACTGAAGGACTCCTGAGGTTCCGTGTTCTAGAAATCAGCTCAGGGTATTTGTAAACACAAAAGAGAGACATTTTCTCTGGCTCTTTTCCATCCACAGCTGTGCCTACTCAACAGATTCTAGCCTTTTCTGAGCAGAAAAGCCCCCCAAACTGGAAGATGGCATCTGAGCTCATCTTGCCTGAGTTCCAGGTGAGCTGTACTTCCCAGCTTTTTCAGGCAGCCTGCACCTGGCCTTGTCTGTGCTTTTCTTTGCTGCCCATGACCCACAGTGCTCGGCAGGTGCTCTGAGGCACGTTAGCCCCGGATGTTCACCTCTAGGCGACTAGGCTGGGCACGGTGGGGACCAGGCCCCTCGCACGCTGTTTACTGATCTCGGGCTTTTTCCTTTTCTGCCATCTTACTTCCCCCCCCGAATCTTAATACTCTTCTTCGGCGACTGGCCTGCTGTGTAGTTCAGAGATGAGTGATAGGAAGGCTTCTGTGGTGGCAAGTACTGAACTGAAACCCATTCTCTTCTTTAGAGCCTGTTGACATTTGAAGATGTGGCAGTGTCCTTTTCTGAGGAAGAATGGAAGTTACTGGACCCTACTCAGAAGATCCTTTACAATGATGTAATGCAGGAGAACTATGAGACTGTCATCTCTCTAGGTAAAGATTCTTCCTTTCCTTTGTGTAGAAGTTGAGTAATCTGGCCGCAGTTTATGGAAGACGATCTTCTGTGGGAAAGTCCCCGTGTTCCAGTAGCTGTTTGGGTCTCACCTTGATGGTGTGGGGGAAAGGCCAGGCATATCCAGATGATTCAGAATAGATCCTGACTTACCAGCATGTCTCCCCGTCTGCTGCTCTTACCAGCCTCGTCTAAGCTGCCGTCATCCCTGACCCTGTCTGCTTCAGTAGCACTGGATTCCCATTCCACGTGCCCTCCTGAGGCTTCCTTCTCCACTTCCTCCTTGCGTCTCCACCCACAATCACTGTAGACTAGAAAGAAGGTGCTGAATCTAAGATTCTGCCCGTTTAAACATTCGGAGTAAATGAAAGAGTCATTCACTCTTCCTGAAAAAGAGTCTGGAATTAGGATGGCAGCCCACGACCTCAAGGTTTTATACTCAGAGCATTATTGTTAGCCCCTAAACCTGAAGTAATCTGCTTAGAACAAGGAAGAGAACCATAGGTCCAAGGTCCCCAAGAGTTCAAGGACAGTCTTGGAGAGTCTCCTACAGGTAAGTATATACACGGGAAGAAGAGAAATGTTCCTTAATGAGGACCTTTACAGGGGATTAACACTCCAAGATTCTACTCCTGGGTTTTTCTTACTGAACTTCTTCTTGAGATAACTGTAGATTCACATGGAAATTTAAAGTATCATACAAAGAGAACCCGTGTACACGTTACCCAGTTTCCCTCAATGGTAACTTTTGCAAAAAGTATCATATAATGTCACAACCAGGATATTGATATTGATACAGTCTTCTGACCTTCATATTTTCCATTTTATTTGTCTGTGTGTGTAATTAGTTCAGTAAAGTTTTTTTTTTTTAAGATTTATTTATTTTAGGAAGAGAGAGAGAGAGCGTGTGCCGGGGGAGGGGCGGAGGGAAAGATTCTCCAGCAGACTCCCCACTGAGTGGGGAGCACGACACAGGGCTCAATCTCATGACCCTGAGATCATGACCTGAGCCGAAATCAAGAGTCTGAGGCTTAACCGACTGAGCCACCCAGGGGCCCCTAGTTCTATAAAGTTTTATTGCAAGTGTAGGTTTGCATGTTCACCTCTGCAGTCAAGCTACTGGACAGTTATATTACCGCAAGGACCTTTCTTGTTGCCCTTTTATCATCACACACATGTCCGCTATACCTCACCCCGTCACCGACCCATGCCAACCCCTGATCTGCTCTACATTTCTGATATTTTGCCGTTTCAAAAGTGTTACATGAATAGAACCGTAAAATGTGTAACCCTTTGGCATTAACTTTTTTCATTCAGAATAATTCCTTGGAGATTGATCTGAATTGTTGTGTGTATCAATAGTTGTTTGTTTGTTTCTTTGTTTGTTTTAATACTGAGTAGCATGCCATGATGTTGAGAGACCACAGTTTGTGTAACCATTCACCACTGAAAAGAGATCTTTGCTGTCTTCAGTTTTGGGCTAGTGTGAATGAAGCTATCAGGAGCGTTTGTGTGCAGGATTTTTTGTAGAGATAAGTTTTCATTTCTCTGGAATAAATGCCTTAAGGGTACAGTTGCTGGTTCATATGGCAGTTACATGCTTAATTTCCTGAACACTTGCCAAACTGTTTTCCACAGTGACTGTACCATTCCACATTCCCAGCAGCAAAGGATGAGTGGTCCAGTTTCTCCATGTCCTTGCCAGTGTTTATATTATCTGCATTTTAGGTTTGCCATTCTGATCGGCATGTAGTGTTACCGCGTTGTGATTTGGATTTGCGTTTCCCTAATGGCCAGTGATGTTTTATAGCTTTTCATGCGCTTATTTGCCGTCTCTATTTTCTTGTCAGTGAAATATCTTTCACCCACATCTTAACCGGATTGTTTTTTAACTGTTGAGTTTTGAGAGTTTCTTTATAAAGATTTTATTTATTTATTTATTTATTTGAGAGAGAGAGAGAGAAACAGCATGAGAGGGGAGAGGGTCAGAGGGAGAAGCAGACTCCCCGCCGAGCAGGGAGCCCGATGTGGGACTCGATCCCAGGACTCCGGGATCATGACCTGAGCTGAAGGCAGTCGCTTAACCAACTGAGCCACCCAGGCACCCTTTGAGAGTTTCTTACATATTATAGATTCTAGCGCTTTGTCGAATATGTCGATTGCAAATAGTTTCTCCAAGTCTGTATATTGTCTTTTTAATCCTCTTCCCGTGGGCTTCCACAGAGTAAAAGGTTTTCATTTTGATGAGGACCAATTTTTCATTTTTTCCTTTTATACATTGTATTTTTGGTGTTAAGGCTAGAACTTGGACTAACCCTAGATCCCTAAAATTTTCTGCTATTTTTTCCTAAAAGTTTTATAGTCTTGTATTTAAGTCCATGATCCATTTTGGGTTAATTATTATGAGGTGTGAAGTTTAGGATGAGGTTCATTTTTTGGCCTATGGAGGGCCAATTGCTTCAGCTCCATTTCTTGAAAAGGCTGTCCTTCCTCCATTGAATTGTTTTTGTTTTTTTAAAGATTTTATTTATTTGAGAGAGAGAGAGCTCGCAGGAGCAGGGGGAGGAACAGAGGCAGAGGGAGAAGCAAGCTCCCTGCTGAGCAAGGAGCCCACCTGGGGACTCCATCCCAGGACCCTGGGATCATGACCTGAACCAAAGGCAGACAGACGCTTAACCGACTGAGCCACCCAGGCGCCCCCTCCACTGAATTGTTTTCGCACTTCTGTCAAAGAGCAGTTGGGTATATTTGTGTGCATCTCTTCTGCTCCATCGAGCTCTGTGTTTGTGCCAATATTGCACTGTCTTGATTGCTATAGCTTTGTAATATCAAAGCCTTACTATCTGTCAAGTAGACCGATTCTTCCCACTTTATTCTTTTCTGTAAAATAAAATTTTATTTTAGCTCTTCTAGGGCCTGTGCCTTTCCATGTCCATTTTAGAGTAAGCTTATCTATGTCTACAAGAAACTTTATTGGGATTTTGCTAGATAGGACATTAAACCTATGTATTAGTTTGAGGAGGATTGATGTCTTTACTATGTTGATTTTTTTGATCAATGAACACAGTGTGTGTCTATTTATTTAGGTCTTCTTTAATTTCTTTCATCAACTTTTTGTAATTTTCAGTGTACAGATCCTCTCTGTGTTTTGCTAAATATAGGCCAAAGCATTTCATTTTCACTGGAACATTTGTAAATGGTACTATTTTTAATTTTGGTTTCTGTGTGTTCATTGTTTTTTTACATAGGAATGCCACTGATTTTGTATTTTTTTTTTTTAAGATTTTATTTATTTATTTGGCAGAGAGAGATACAGCGAGAGAGGGAACACAAGCAGGGGGAGTAGGAGAGGGAGAAGCAGGCTTCCCGCCGAGCAGGGAGCCCGATGCGGGGCTCGATCCCAGGACCCTGGGATCATGACCTGAGCCGAAGGCAGATGCTTAACGACTGAGCCGCTACCCAGGCGCCCCTGATTTTGTATTTTGATCTTGTATTCTGTGATCCTACTAACTCATTATTTCTAAGAGGTTTTTTTTGTAGATTCCTTGAGATTTTTACACATAGATAATCACATTATCTGCACTGCCTTTTAATTTCTTTTTAATGCCGTAACTGCAGTAGCTCCAACTTCCTGCTATGTTGAATAAGAGTGGAAAGAGCAGACATCCTTACCTTGTCCCAATTTTATCATGAAAACGTTGTTTTTCACCATTACCTATTTACGTTAGTATGGTTTTTTTATTGTTGATACTCTGTTATCGAGTCAATATAATTCCTAACTTAGTGTTCTTATCATGAATGGATATGGAATTTGTGAAACACTTTCCTTTGTCTTTTGATAGGTGTATGATCTTCAAAGCTTGTTGATATGGTACATTACGTTGATTGATTTCAAATGTTGAATCAGCCTTGCATACTTGCAGTAAATCTTTCTTGATCCTGGTGTATAATTCTTACATATGGTTACATTGTTTGCCAGTATGTTGTTGAGTATTTCTACATTTAAGTTCATGGGAGATGTTAGTCTGTAGTTTTCTTTTTTAAAAAACGATTTATTTATTTTAGAGAGAGAGAGAGAGAGCATGCACATGGGTGCATGAGCAGGGGTGGGAGGGGAGGGACAGAGGGAGAGAGGATCCCCAAGCAGACTCCCTGCTGAGCGCAGAGCCTGACATTGGGCTCAATCCCAGGACTCTGGGACCATGACCTGAGCCAAAATCCAGAGTCAGCTGCTTAACCACCTGAGCCACGAGGCACCCCAGTAGTTTTCTTTTCTAGTATTGTCTTTATATGATTTTGCTATCAGGGTAATACTGGCCTTATAAAATGAGTTAGGTAGTATTTCCTCCTCCTTTCTGGAAGAGAGTGTGTAAAATTGGTGTTAATTCTTTAAATATTTGGTAGAATCCTCCAGTCTCACCATATGGACTTGGATTTTGGGGGGGAAGCTTTTAAACTATGAATTCAATTTGTTTAATGCTATTCAGATGATCTATTTCATGTTGGTTGAATTCTGTTAGTTTGTGGTTTTGAAGAATTGGTCCATTTTTTCCTAACTTTTAAAAGTCATGAACATAAGGTTGCTTATAGTATTATCTTATCATCCTTTTATTTATTTTTATTACTTTTTTAAAGATTTATTTATTTTTTAGAGAGTGTGTGAGCAGGGGGAGGGGCAGAGAGAGAGGGAGAGGGAGAGAAGCAGACTGCCTGCTGAGTGCAGAGCCTGAAGCAGGGCTTGATCTCAAGATCCTGAGGTCATGACCTGAGCCGAAATTAAGAGTCAGATGAACGGGCTGAGCCACCCAGGTGCCCCTCTTACCATCCTTTTAGTTGCTGCAGGATGTGTAGGGATGTATCCAATTTCCTTCCTGATACTGGTGATTTGGATTTTCCCTCCTTTTATTTTTGTCAGTTGTGATAGAGGTTTATCAATTTTATTAATTTTTTTGAAGAACAAGCTTTTTGTTCAGTTGTGACT